AGTACTTATCCACCAGTGTCTTACAGGAGGTGGCTTTAGTTTTGTGCATGGGAAACAAGACTTTCGTGCCCACTTTTTCCATGTCACTTGCCTGAAACTATGATATTCTAACATTAATTTTGACCTTCCACCTTTCCTCTTATCCAAATTTCGAGTTTTGTCGGCATTGGATTAGAGTATTATTGCGGAATTCTGACCGACACGTCTGGAGAAGAGTGGCAGGCTTCGCAACTGTATCGACGATCTCGTGCAAGCATCGGGTGTAATATTTCCGAAGGACGATGAGAAGCAGGCAGAAAATATGGAGACTGCGCACGAAACACCAATTGAAAGGTTGCTCGGTGAAACAGGTCCCTGCGATGGTGCAGAAATGTAAGCAGTGGAGGGTAATCTACACAGCGCCCATGCCCTGCACTGCACCACCTGGGAATGCGAGACGGGGCACAGGTCCAGATCCGATGCTGACGCTGTGCCAACATCCTGGAGGTCGTACAGATGGACCACCTGCTGCTGCACCTCGTGAGGCTCCTCGCCGAATTTCCCAGCACGCCCTGTCACCTTGAGAATGGGAATCAAGAGAAATCAGAGGCGCACTGATTGACGCCATTCCGAGCACTGACTGGCACTGCGGGCAGTCATACGAGCGGGAGAATAAGTGTCGCTTTGTCGCCATCGCCCAGGCGTTTTAAGCGTGTAGCGTGCCTGCCTGCCTTACCTGCAGGTAGACCTGGTGCCAAGTGCCCTCCATGGAACTCTGAGCTCTGGCGATGGAGGCGAGATAGGACGGGCCAGCGGAGAAGCTGTGAGTGACCATGTGACACTGAGAGAATGTGCAGCCAGCAAAATATTCCAAGCAAATGCGAACAAGTCACACGAGGAGAAAGTCCAGTCAGTAGGCAGCGCCGCTTTCAGCTCTAGAATCGATCGACGTCGCTCTCTAGAGCAGCAAAACGACACTTGGATTCGGGATCAGGCTGCTGCAGCTTGCCTCGTACAACGCAAGACGACAGCGATTGCATTGCAGACCGAGCGCAAGACCGAGTGCGAGAGTCTATGCCCCGACGCCATTGCCCTGACGACTTTCGTCGATGCGTTCCTTTCCTCTCCTTTCCTTTCCCCGCCCCGCCAGCCTTTTCGCCATCGCCGTACCCAAGCAAGTCAGAGCTTCAGAACATGAGAGCGGCCTTCGGTCCACAGAGGCGCGATCTCGTGCACGATGAAAAAAATTTGCGCCTCGAGGAATTTACACACTTGCGGCGGCTGTAAATCATCAGCATTCTTAACTTCGCCTTTCGGCCCTCCCTCCCTCCCTCCCTCCCTTTCCAGCTGGGAAGAAGGAAATTCATTCTCTTCCGACAGAGACGTAACGCAGCTCCGTCGAGGCTCCATTTCCCTAGGATCGCCATCACTGATCGAGACTCAATAGCACGTAACCATGCCGATAATTTTCACCCACCATCGACCAATCGAGGTACAGTTCTCTACCAGGACATTATTCTATACCTCGCGTCCATACGCAGGTGCCATAAAATTTGGTGTGATACAGCAATCTTACCAGGTCGCGGTTTGGGGTGGTTTTCACCATCCCCGACGTTCGAGCTGGTCTAGTCAGCGAACTCGGGAATCAATTACTGGTGAAATTACAGGACGGTGTGAGGAGATCGAGGAGCTCAGGATCCGTAACATTAACGGATCAGCGGGTGGTGGATTTACCGGACGGAAGGTATCTGTGGTGGTGGGTAGGGAGCCGGAGCCGGAGCCGAAATGGGAATTTCGTGAAGAGTTGTGGCTGCGCCGACTGTACGATCGGACGAATCGATTCGCGCAAGAGTTCAAAAGTAGAGCGACTGTGACGCACGTGATGGAGCTGAATCCGGACCATCTGGTGTTGCGCTCCACCCACCGGAAGCGAGATGGCGAGGTGAGGGGTGGGGCAGTCGAGGATCATGATCCTGAACCCTGATCGGAGGCAGATCCCGGGAAAGACGTACATGCTGAACCCAATTCCCAAGCAGTAGATAAATTCTCCGTGCTAGAATCGGACCAGTGCGAGAGAGAAGCTGAAAGGACAGACATTGCGCAAGATGGAAGCCGAAATTAGCTCCGAAAGCCGAATTTCATAGGCTTCCAGTGCAAGCCATGGCTGGAACAAATCTCCCGCTCCAGGGTCCTCGGAGCTCATCGTAACTTACGTGCTTTCTCAGTAGAATCTAATCACCAACCTCTTTCAGGCTCTCAGGATTCTCAGGACTCTCGAGAAGACAGTCTTTTCCGAGGCAACGCAAAATCCTTTTCTTTCTCACACAATCTTTGCAACTCACAGATATCTCCTCCACGAGATCTCTACTTCTTATCACGACTCAAGTCAAGTCAACTCAAATCCAGATTTTTTCATACAATTCGATCAAAGCAAAGTGGGAACTCCCGTCTCTACGAAAAAGCTCTACTCTCCGCTGTTCTGACGAGGAAATTTGCAGATTTCCTCCTTACTACAGGAGAAGATTGGCGACCTCCTCGCAGCTTTGAAACCTCTCCTTCCACGTCGCCAGATGCAGCTCCTCAATTTCGTAGAGTTACCCATCAGCCCGGACACGGCAAGAATTAGAACCCATGGAACCATGGCGTTCGTCTCCATCCTCGAGCCAGGTGCTTCTTCCAGCTCAATAAGCATGACATCAAACACTCGAGCTTCCTTCCTAGCCCCGGAGAGGAGGAAGTAAAAGAACTAACTGCCAAGTCCGAGTCCATTCTCTATCTGAGTCCGCGCAGTGAAGAGGCCAAGAGGAATTTCATGCGCCATAAGAACGCCAAAGACTGATCCCACGTTTTGTCTAAATTAAAAACCGATGTAAGTGATCGATTGCGTCGAGTCACCTTTGGAAGTCAGAGTCCTTCACCTCGTCAGCTTGAAGCTCTTTGCTGGCAAGTTTGATGCCATGGAGTGAATTCGGGAGTCAGAATCCATAAACTCGTGGGTTTGGAGCTCTCTCACAGACTTAGGTGCTTTGGATTGGCTTCTGGGAGTTTGGTCGTTGACCTTTTGAATTCTCCGGCTCTTCAAGAGTGACAAGTTTTGGATTGGGTTGGATTTGGACTTCCTTTGAGATTCACTGGCCTCGTGTTTGATTTGATCGGGAGCTTATTCCTACAGGACACACATGATTTGTGTTGGTGATCTGACTTCTGTTCCATGCATGTGCAGATTCGAAGGCACAGAATTGCCATCTGCATGCGGGGAGTGACGACACCCATCCAAGAGAAAAGATTGGAGGGGACCTTTGAGAATAAATTCCGCTATTTCATGATGCAACACATTCACACAAATAGATCATTACAAGTTCCTCAATTTAAGAAGTGAATAATTTGAACAACTTGTGATGTAGGAATCAGCGCCCTGTGACAAGATGCACTACTGTACTTGCAGTTAAGAGCTGGAAAAACAAGATACCAATTACAAAGTGCAGGTTAATTTTTCGTTCATCACGAGGACCAGTCTCGGAGATTAAAAGTTTTATACAAAAAACCAGAACAATGTTCAGGCTCAGCTACCATTCAAAATCACGATCCATGTCTTACAGATGCTTAGAAGAAGCGTCTGCAAGGAGGCTCGAGTTGGACTTGCGGGCTAAACACGAGAGCCAAATTACGAGGAATATTTATCCAACAAGTATTCACAAACACGTTTCACGAGCTCTGAATTCTTGGACAAGTAATCAAGTTCTGTAATACACGTCATCCGACGTTTCCTACATACCACTCCATGGCTTCTGCTGTAAAAACACTCCCCCCTGCTTCGTCGGCACGGGTGTAGGTTGCCTGGACACTAATTAAAATCAAAAGTCGAGCAATTTCCAAAAGCAAAACCGATCTCCAAAATTAATCGAACGGTGTTCATATGGTGGATACAAACCAGATGAGATTTGGCTGTCAGAGAGGACTAACTACAACGCAGGAAAGCCTGAGAATTTTCTATCCGAGAAGAGGAGTTTGAAAGGCGGATTGAATGCGCAATGAGGATGAGCAGGGGCGGACAAGCAACACGAAGTCTTCTCTCAGAAGAAAGCATAACTTTCCCACGTCGTCTGGGCCCGGGGAATATTGCCAACTGACTCAAAAGTTACTGGGACAGCGTGGACGTGTAGAGGGCGGACGCACAGAGAAGCACGAGTTTCGAAGCTTTGTTTGCGTACGCACGCTCTGGCGGTGGAATCGAAGAGGAGCGGACACATGTTCACATGAACGCAGGGCCCTCCCTCCCTCCCTCTCTCCCTCTCTCCCCTCAATCATACTTGCCATTGGAGGAAACAGGCTCGATGACTGCATGTGTGTATGTATGACAAACTCAACATGGCTCGTCATCCAAACAAAGCACGGGCGACTCCAGGAGTGGTGAGTAAGGAGTGAGTGAGTGAGTGATTGATTGATAGATATGTTGATTCGTTGAAGCCGCCTGGTGTACAAGAAATGAAGAAGACACGCTCACTGATATTGTTTTTTCGAGCTCGTACGGTACGCTCGTCTACTCTGCGCTTTCCGAGGTCCAGCTTTGTCAGGGCTCAGGGCCCGGGAACATTTGTGGCACATTCGGATGATCAGGTTGTCGGTTAGAAGTGATGCAGTAGATGCTGCTGACAAATGACAACAACTCGCAGCTCGCGACGGTACCTCGAATGGCTCCTGCGTTGCGTTGCTGCTGCACTGCAGTCAATGATTGAGAAAGCTCTCAGACCTCGTGCCACGGAAAATCTACGGCACGAATAAAATATCAATCGAGATCGCAGCTGCATCTGCATCTGCAATTTCACATTTGCACACGGGAGGTAACTTCCCCCTTCCCCAAACACCATTCGGTCCGTCACCAATTGACAACATCATCTCGAGGCAGAGAGAGCTACGTAAGTTCAAAGTATATCGGATTGTGAAATGTATGTACAAGGACAGTATGTACATGGCAGTCTGAGCCTTGACAAGGGCGGCTCATCAGGCCTGCCAAAACGCTGAGAAGGCTCAGGGAGTTTGTAAATAAGCTGTGGAGAGGGGCAATCATGGTATCAAAATGGTAAATTGCACAGGTCTCCTCATGGAACCGAACCAACACCTGATTTTACAGCAGACCCAATGTCAGCCTGCCGAGCAATTGTTCAGCTTTCAAGTACCAGGGGAGAGATACAAGTACAGTATCTGCAAAGGTGCCAGATAAACAGTTGGAATTGTTCTGACTGTCACACGGCTAGTTGGCTAACAACCTCATCTCTCCCAAAAGCAGCGGCAGCACCTGCAGAGCGCCTGTGAAATTTAATCTTTTCGGCTTATCGAGAGGCTCTTTGATTGCCCCATGGAAGAATCTATACACGATCATATGTTGTCACGGGCCAGAGCAATCTGTCCCCATACGTAATTTTTCTCGTCCTTGGCTCTGTCCTACCCCCTCCCTCCGGAATATGCCTGCACACACGTTTGTCGTCCTCTGAGGTGCACATTTGCCAGGCGCACAGCAGAGTGCACCCCATGGAAACTGTTTCGAAGTCGTTCGCCAGAGCATCTGCCTCAAATCCCCCACTCCCGCATCCATAATTCTCCAGTCTCACAACCACCTGATCCACTTCCACTTCCAGCCACGCTCAGCAGAAGCAGCACCAACAGTTGCAATCCACGTGAAATCGGGGGAGGAGAAAAGCGGCCAAGCAACCACGATGATCATATAAACACCAGAAAAGACGGCCCAGCTGTAAATTATACCCTCGAATCGTCCGTCCACCATCGCCGTGTGGGGGACAGACACCACGAGCTCGTGCCAGCATACCAAAGGGCTCCTCGCTGCCACGACGGATCTCACCATTAACATCCCGCGGGCTCGTCCAATTCCCACTCACTCGATCGCTCGTGGGGCACATCTACACGTGATTTATACAGCCACGGACCTCCGTAATCAAACCAGTCTCTCGTTCCGAGTGAGTGACTATGTGACCTCCTAATCAATTGCTAGACTGCTGCTGCTGTAGTAGTAGTAGTAATTTCGCCTGGAGAGGATTGACCCTCCTCACTGATATTCGCCATTTTGTACAGGCCCCGGGGCGTTTGCGGAATGCTGTGGAATCCGAGAGGCGACTCGGGAATGCTGGCAAGAGCAGGATGCCAGTTGTAGATTGGCATGTCCAAAGGCTGGGGCGGCGATTTCTTCTTCTTCGTCTCCTCTTCTTTTGCTTCGACCAAGGGTGACAGCTGCTCCTCGTCCTCCTTCTTCGTCATCTTGCTGGCCACCACGGTGGCGAGCTGCAGCCTCGTGACGACGAGCTTCAATGCGAAGCGGCGGCCGGTTTTCTTCTCCTTGTGCGTGGACACATTCGCAGACTTCGCCTCAATCTGCCGCTTGATCATCGAGAACGACTTGGACTTGGCCAGCAGATGCTTGTGCCGCTCCGGAATCGGGTACAGCATGTACGGCTGCCCCGGCAGCAGAGGCTGCTCGGGGAGCATGATGTTGATCTTGTTGCGGTTGCCTATTCCCTTCTGCGTCTGCTGGCAGTGCACCACCAGATGGTCCGGATGCTGCAGCATCACCTCGGCCGTCACCGTGGGGAACTCATAATTCTCGAACACGCCCTCCGTGTTCATCACCCGCACCCTCGATCCTCCGCTTATGCACGCCCCCAGCGACACCGTCTGCCCCATGATCTTCCAATTCCCTTCCCTCTCGACCCGGACTCGAGCGCAATTCACTCACTCCCCCCCTCCACCGAATTCTACCAATTTTTTCACATATGTCAAGCAGCGAGCGAGGCCGAAGAAGACTCTGATCAGATATGAATCCAGATCCTCGGGAACCTGAGAAAGGTGGATCAGGATTGGCTCCCTGCTGCCTGCCTGCCTACAGTCTAATCAATTTATCGATAAAGGTTGAAATTGAATTTCTTTTCTAATCGGCAGTTGTCAAACCGACGCTAGAGAATCGGTACTCGAGTAGAGCACGAGTGATAGGATCTCGGAACCTCTCCTCTGTCAGGTTCGATCGGTGGTACGACCTATATACACGAGCACGGCCGGAGCGAGTAGAGCTCGTCATCCGAGAGGGCCTGAAATATGAGAGGCTGCAGACGATACGAGCCGAGACGAGTCGGACTGAGCCTCTGCTCTCTCGCCCTGTGCTCGCCCAGGATTCGGTCCTCGCACGACTCTGTCGCACTCCTCCCCTCCATTCCTTCGTCTCGCCCCCACTCACTCACTACCTTTGGGGGGCGACGACGCAGTCCACGCTCGCAACATCACTTCATTCCCCTTTGCCCCCGATCGGCTCGGTCCGCTGCGTCGGGGTCAACTCGGGTGGAGGGAGCTTTCCGTCGCTACAATCCCCCCTCCCCGCGCCCCGCGCCACTTGCCATTCTTAGCGCTAGCCTTGGAATCGGACTGCGTTGACTCGGGCAACTACGCCCCCCCGTGGAGTTCGCGACGGGTCCACTGGCTGTGCTGTGGGGGCCAGGCCTGAGGACTCGGGGGAATGGGACTCGGACACGAGAGGCCTCTTGAGTGTGCGTCTGCGTCACACCTCCTCTCTCCAGGATATGTCAACGACGGGTTGCATGGACATTCGCCGCGCATAGCTCAAGGACCGAACACCGTTCTTTGTTCGGCATTCACGCCAAAAGTGTAGCTCGCGTTTTGTATGTGAAGAATGTTATTTTGTGATAGAGGAGGGCTAGTTATCACTTTGGGCTAATTAGCCCTCACTCTACTCTCTCATTGGTAGATGCACGTTTATAGTTTATTCGAATGAGTAGCAATCTGGGTAGTGTGTAGGGTGTTCCTAACAATGAAAAAACCGCACATACTAGAGTGAGTGATAACTAGCCCTTCCCCCTTCCCTTTGTGATATCATGTAAACTTCACTTGAATACTACTAGTCATGGCGGGTTTCAATAATTTACTCAATGACATGCTACAATTGAATAAGCGATGTAATGAATTAAAGAGAAAATTGAATGAACATACGTATAGATATTTATGGTACATATTATGTAATTTATTTATTATGTATTTAAATCTATAAATAATATATATACCAGAAATTATATATTCATATCATGGATAGTCATATTATATTATGTTTTTAAGTACATACAATTTTTTTTAATAATTGCAAATATTTTTTAAAATTTAAATTTTTACATAAACTAAATTCTTAACTAGTATTATATTTTATTCAAAGTTAAGTTATAATCAAGTATAAGTTCATATCAAAATGCATGATAATGATTCTTGAACTTCTAGCGAGTTTCTTAAAAAAAATGTGAAGTATTCATAGTATATATGAGAGATGTGATTGATATGGTACTTAGATAAATAAAAAATTTATAAATAAAAATTTAGAGTGAATTTTTATTTCTAACATTTTTTTAATTTATTGATGATTTTATACTGATTATGAAAAATTTGAGTAAAAAAGTACACACCATAGTAGTTTTTTTAATCAATTTGAAATCTTCTATACCATTATTAAATATAAAAATGAATTTCTCACAAATTTATGAATCAAAATATAAACAAATATAATATATACAGTTGAAATCAATCACAATTTTTTAAGTGGCTACTTTAGAATTGAAGTCATGAATATCCCAACACATGTATCAAAAAATCTAATTAGAACTACAATAATAACAGTAAAGTAATATACTTCTATATATTTAACAACGATATAAAAAATTTTGTGTTAGAATTTTCAACACAAAATTCTGAACCCTGTACTTCTTGCATTATGTATAAAAATAATAATATAGCAATGTCTTTGAATTATTAACATTTAACACTTTATCTCTTGTTGTTGGAGTTTTTAACATATCTCACTATCTTTTATTATAAAAAGGTTGATATGATATAATATTAAAAAAATGAAGATTTGATTAAATAATTATAGAGTTAAGTTGCTAACACAAAACACATATTGGCACACAACATATATCATTTAACTCGATAAGATCCACTGACGGTTCATTGTCATCCATAGTCTTACACAAAACAATTCCTTGCAACCAACACATATCATTTAATTCAATAGTGATCATTGGACACTCACTATTCCAATTATTTGACACAAATCTTCTATATCCATATGTGTCAAAATATGCATGCTTTTCACTTTTTGTAATATTAATCATCGCTTAACGAGCTTGTTATAATACAATAGATGAGCATCAATTATCTAAACACTCAAACCTACCTAGCTATTTTGGTAGCTAGTGCATATGCGGTATCCAAACTTGGACCAGTTGCCAAATTCACACCCTCCACGAAAAAGTCACAACACAAATGAGCATCAAATAAAACACAAAAGCTCAGTACAATGTCAATAAGCAATGGTAGACATCTTTACCTCGTCCAATGTGTCACATGGTCTTGAGCACACTAGAGCCAAACGAGTGTCAACGACGTCGCAAAAAGTACTTTGGTTCCCATCGAAGCTACCATATCCCTCGTCTCCACTACCAACTAAAGTCGGAGACGGTGGTGAATGACGAGATGAGAAGATATTTACTCCCCCCACATCATAGCCATCAACTATATTGTGAAAGAAACAATCTCTTCCTCCACACTATAGCCGTCAACTATAGTAAGATAGACTTAGTACCTTCCTTCACATTATGAATGCCAACTATATAGTTACGAGAATTTTTTCAAAGTATGAGTGATGGTGGACTGCAAAGTCGTTGGGAGGAGTCTCATAGGGTAAAATGAATAATGTTGGGTTTCAAAAAGTGTTTTGACTTATGCAGTGGTATAATCAAGTAATTTTCTTTGTTTAATACTACATAATAATAAAAAATATCAAATACTTACTATTTGATGTTAAATACATTTTTTCTAAAAATTGAATTATTTTTTATTTTATATATGTTTTGTTAACATCAATAAACATAATCAATATGATTTTTTCAACATTATAAAATACAAAATAAATTAAATTATTTATTTAATTTTTAATTTGTTTGAAAGATAAACCAAAATAAATTTCAATATTTGTAAAATTTTAATAACTATTATTTCTATTAAACATAAAACATTTAATTCTTTTGAAAGTGAAGACTTTGTTGATAACTTTAAGCAACAGATTCAGAGAAAAAATCAATAGGAATATTTGCTTAAAAAATGACCGCGATATCTATTTGTCATATTTAATAGTTTACATACTTTCATTTACAATGAAAATCCTTACCTTATTGAGTTTTGTACCCTTCACAAACTTTAACACAAACAAGTTTCAAAATATGTAATATTTTTTAACTTTTACGCTTCAAGTCTTTGGATTATATTTTATAATCAGTATAAATAATATCAAAAATATTACAATTGCATTTATAGATTAAAATATAAATTAAATTAAATTCATAAAAATCTATTGATAATACAAATATTTTATGAATGCAAATAATTTTTAACATATCATTAGAAATGTAATATTTTGTATCTATGAATTTTAATGATCTATCTAATTATCAAAAATTAAGTATAATATTTATCTTCATTCTGTATATATTTGACTCAAGATTTTTTATAATTTTTTTAAAAAATTCAAATATATTGAATTTTTCATGTATGAATTGTACCATTAGAAAAATTATTCAAAATATTGTAAAAAATTATTTTTTATGCATTATTTTATTATAAATTGTATATAAATAGACTTTTTTGTTATGTTTGAGAACACCAGTTTTAAATTTTATTGAGTTGATAAATATAAATTAGTTTTATTTTGTAATAAAATATTTGTTAAATATTTTTTTATAATATTTATTTTTTAGTTGTGAATTATGTACAAGTAAATTACATTTTTCTATTTACTGAAACATAATGAATTATATCATAAAAAATGTTCTCCAAACAAAATAATTTCATAACAAACCAAATGTAATCTCTTGTAAACTTAATAATTAATTTTTATTTCATTCAATAATTACCTTTATTAGAAAGTTTATGGATTCATACATATTTTTTTGCATGACAATGTTTCACTTCACATATATTTTAAACTATTTGAAATAATTAAACAGGTAATGATGACAACAGTACTATCCTGTAAGTTTGTTGACTAGAACATGGCAGATGGTTTTGCTAAGCTCAATGCTCATCCAACATTGTGTACTCGTGGGAGCTACTTCAGCGACGAGCTTGGCAGGATTTTTGTCATCGAGAGATCATAATATTATTTTTGTTTTGAATTTTAAGATTTTTTATGTTAATAATTATAAAAATAATATTAATTTATAATTTTTCAATTTGTAAAACTTAATACATAATATTATACAAAATATTTTACACAAATAAATTGTTTATTTAATAAATTATTATATTTTTATATAAAAAATGAATTTTTGAAAATAATTTTTTCACTAAACATTTTATTCAAATGAGTAGAATTTAATCATGTTTAAAATGTTAATATAATAAATATATGAATATATAATATATAATTTATTATACATATATTAAAATATGTTTGCTACCATGAGAGCTTCACAAAATATAGCGTAGGCTGGTAGCAAAAAATGACCGATAAAATAGTGAGTTTGAAAATTTATTGTTGATTCGTTTTTTTGGTGTTTCAACAGAAATTATAGACAATGAGGAATAACATTAAATTAACTGAGAAACTTTGGCCCCAAGTGACTACACATTCTAGAAGTTCAACTCACTACAAGTTCAATCTCGTCAGAGAGTACAGAACCTCTTCCCACTATTGTGTTAAACGCTAAGGTCATTCCCTTCTCTTTAACGTCTGTCTGTATGGAAGTAAAAAATTAGACAAATCTGCCAAACTCCATACTCCAGGTCTCAACAAAACTTCGGCTTTACTCCAAGATTTCGGATGGACACTCGGTCTAATCTAATTGACACACACGACATGAAGCATCATCACTATGTTTTACCTGTAGAGCAATCATGAAAGCATGA